AATGATTCTGTGTATTCCCTCCATCTTCTTTTGATGCTTCCTGAATCATTCCAGATGTTTCCCCATAGCATCTCTCAGTATTACAACTTGAGGTTTGAATTTGTTTTTCAGTTATTTTCAGCTTGAGAAATGCTGGGTTAGTTTCCCCTTTGTTACTCTTCAACTCCAGTTCTTTGTACATTTTGTTATAATACTTCTTGTCTTCTCAAGCTGCACTTTGAAATCTTCTGTTCTTTTTATTTTACTTCTGGGTTTCTCGGCTCAAGTGTAATGTTCAAATTTTTTCTTGTCATCCATTTTGGTCTTTTCTTCCTCTTCTGTCTTTTATCAATGTTTTGCTCTGGTTATGGGTTAGTTATATCTTTGATTACACCCCATAATTTATTTTGTCTTCAATCAGTGGTGTTCAGTGCCTGAAATCTATTCTGGAGATGATTTTTAAATTCAGATAGGATAGATTAAAAAGAAAAGGTTATTTTTTGGAAAGGGGTATCACGTTAGGAAATATGGAGGGTCAGTGAAAGAGAGGAAGACCCCCAGTGACTGCAGTGATGGGCTCAAGTGTGTCAGAGTTTATGAGGATGGTGTCAGACAGGCCAGGATTCAGATCTGCTGTTGCTCTGAGTCATACTCAACTCAGCAGCACTTAACAACAGTAAGGTGAACAACATCACTAGGAAGAAACACACTTCATTAGTCATACAAAAACCAAAAGGACAATATTTACCCAAAGGAAAAAAAATGCAGAAGGCAGGAAGTGATAGGAAGGAAAAATGAAAGGAAATGGGAAACAGAGAGAGAAAGTCAGAAAAGTGTTACTACAATGTAGGGATTGTAATCAATGTCATGAAATAAAATGTGTATTAATAGTTGAATGGAAAACCAATTTGATCTGTAAACTTTCACTCAAATTCCAAGAAAACTTGGATTTCTTGGTTTTGTTTCATTTTTTTTAAAGGGACACATTATAAATACAGCTTTGTTGTTGTTATGTGCCGTCAAGTAGCTTTCTCCTTTTATTGCTTTTTATGGTATTATCTTGGGCAAGTAATAACCTCTTTAGGTCTCTATTTATTGATACATAAAATATAAATTATTGTTCACAGGGTTTCCAGAGTCCTACTATTTCAGAAGCTGGATGGTCAATCATGCTTCCTAGTCTGTCTTAATCTGGGAACTCTACCAAAATATGTTCATTGTAGTTAACTCCTATGACATTTGATACATTGATGAATGAAGAAGTTCATTCTGTACTGAAGGCATTCACAAAAAATAACTCCCCAGAAATCTGTGGAATATCAATTGACATGATATATGCAGCCCTGGATGTGACAGAAAATTTGGAGGACAGCTGTCTGGATAACTGACTGGAAGAGACCCACATTTATTCCCATTCCCAAGAAAGGGGATCCAACAGAATGTGGAAATTATCAAACAATAACATTACTATAACATGAAAGAAAAATACTACTGAAGATCATTTTAAAATTACTAGAACAGCACATAGAAATGCCAGAAGTTCAAGCTGGATTTAAACGAGGTTGTGGCACCAGGGATATCATTGCTGATGTCAGATGGAGCCTGGTTTTAAGCAAAGAATACCAGAATAAAGTCTATTTGTGCTTTATTGACTATGCAAAGTCCTTTGACTGTGTGGTTCATAACAAATTATGTTTTACATTGAGAAGAATGAGGATCTCAGAGTTCTTAATTGTGCTCATATGAAATCTGTTGCATGGACAGAGCAAGGAAACACTGAATGGTTTAAAGGGGCTACATAAGCGTTGTATCCTTTCTCCATACTTATTCAGTCTGTATGTTGAGCACATTATTGGAGAAGCTAGACTCTATTAAGAAGAATGTGGCATCAGGATTGGAAAAAGATTTATCAATAACCTTGATCATGCAGATGGCACAACCTTTCTTGCTGAAAATGAGGAATACTTAAAGAACTTGCTGTAGAGGATCAAAGAATACAACCTTCAATACTGACTGCATCTCCATGCCAAGAAAACAAAAATTCTCACCACTGGATCAATAGGCAACATCCTTATGTTGTTGTTGTTGTTATGTTCTGTAGAGTCACTTGCGACTCATAGCGACCCTATGTACAAGAGCCTTAAAGCCTGCTCTATCCTGTGCCAACCTCATTGTCTCTGACACACCTACTCCCACTACCTCAATCGCTGAATTGATCTATCTATCAAAGGTCTTTTTCTCCTGCACTGTCCCTTCACTCTTCCAGACATGATGTCCCTCTCCAAGGACCAGCCCCTCCTTGCAACATGCCCAAAGTGTGTCAGACAAAGCTTCAGAATCCTTGACTCCAAGGAGCATTCTGGCTTCACCCTCTCCAGGACAAACCTGTTTGTTTTCTTAGCAGTCCATGGTATATTCAATACTCTTCTCCAGCACCACAGCTAAAAGACATCAATTCACTTTCTATCATCCCTATCACTATCTAGCACACCATTGCGAAGACTATAGCCCCGATCAGGCACACCTTTGTCCCCATTCTGACGCTGTTGCTCTTCAATACTCTGAAGAGGTCCCTAACAGCTGACTTTCCAAATGCAATTTGTCTCTTGATTTCCTGGCTGCTGGTACCAAGAGTGTTGACTGTGGAGCCAAGCAAACTAAACCTGTTAACTATCTCAATCTCTTCAACCTGTTAGAAGAAGAAAAGATTGAAACTGTCAACAAGTTCTTACTAAGAACCCTAATCAATATACTTGGTAACAGCAGTTACAAGATCAAGAGATGTACTTCACTGGGAAAGTCTGCGGTAAGGGAACTATCCAAATTATTGAGAAGTAATGATGTTAGTTTGAAGATTAAGGTACAATTTATTCAGTCTTTCCAATCACTTGCTATGCTGCTGAGAGCTAGACAGTGAATAAAGATGATAGAAGAACAATTGATGTCTTTGAAGTGAGCTGTTGGAGAAGAGTATTGAATAGCACATGGACTGTCAAAGAACAAATAGATATGTCTTAGAGAAAGTGTAGCCATATTACTCGTTGGAGGTAAGGATGAAACAGCTTTGTCTCACATACTTTGGGCATGTTGCTAGAAGACTTGGAGAGGGACATCATGCTTGGGAAGGTGGAAGGAAAGTGAGAGAAAGACCCTCAACCAGGTGGATTGACATAGTAACTGCAGCAATGCAATTAAATGCATCAGAGATTGTGAAGCTGGCACTGGATAGCAGAGGGTTCAGATATTCTGTTCACAGGGCTGGTATCACAGGGTTGCTATGAGTCATACTTCATCCAACAGCACCTAACAACAACATCTTAAGGAACTACTCCAAGAATTAGATAAAATAGCTTATGTAAAGCATGTGGTGTTAGATCTGATGCTACTCAATACATTAGTCCCTTCTCTTTTTCAATTCATGGTATCTTAATATGTACAAAATTCCAAAGGAATAGCTAGTGGCAGGGGAGACTGGTTCAACCAACTGCCTGCTGGAAAATCTCAATCAGAGTTGCCATTTCAATGAGACCTTAACATCAGTAAAATTTTTGTTGACTATCTTTTAACTAGATCTTCCCACTTCTCCTTTTTAGAATTATTTTACTTGGAGGATAAAAACAAAAAAGGTAAATAAGACAGTTGCCCAGATGGTGTGACAGGGAGGATTGGGATTGTGACCCTAAAACCCTTGTATAGTGAACACAGGAATGAGATCATAAAAGATAATATTTAAATTTTCCTGAGCTAAAAAGATATTGCTTTTTAGTTTTGGTTTTTGAGACCCATCTGCTCCTTCATACTCAGTAGGAATCATCTCAATGAAGCTACAATGGGCTCTTGTGTGTCAGGAAGTGTGAAGATGGTACAGGACAGGACTGGGTTCAGATCTTTTGTTCATAGGGTTGCTATGGGTTGTTCTCAACTCGATGCCACCTAACAACAACAACAACAGCAACATCAGGAGATTCAAATGCTACTACTCTAACATAGACCCTAAAGGAGGATCTGTGAAAGAAGGGAGCTCTGGTGGCCTAATGGTAGGGAACTGTACTGCTAACTCAAAGGCATATGGTTTGAATGCACAGGTTGCTCCGCAGGAAAAAGATGGGCAGTAAACTCCTATGCAACTTACATCTTCTGAAAACCCACTGAATGGTAAACTATAAGTTGGTTTCAACTTGATAGCATAGAACAATAACATGAAAGAAAAAGTAGGAGTTAGTGAGAAATCAAGATGACCTACTTTCTAGCTCTACTTCCATCATGTTGAGTGTAATTTGGACTAGATAGTTAAGAAGCATCATAAGAGATAGATACATGATCTTAACAGTCAAGATAACCACAGGAAGGCAGCATGATCTCTTCCTTGGTCTTCTGGTAACTTACTTTCAATCCCTTTTATATAGCTACAAAATCTCATTTCATTATTCCTACAAACTTCAACCAACCATAAAATACTCAATTCAAGCCCTAGAAAAGTTGGGAGGATGACCTTCAACAAGAATGTGGCCAGAGTCTGGAATCACAACCTGTCTCTTTACCATTCTCCTCATCTGGCTATAAATATTCAAGGGGTCAAGGCTCCTACATGCCCTAGAGAATGAAGGCTCCTCTTCCTGTGCCCTAAATCAGTAGATCGATCCTGAAAGCCTGGACATTCCAGCCAGAGGCTTTCTATAGGTCTAAGGTTCTGACATAAAAGGCAGAATGAAAAGCTGACATCCTTGTAGAAATCATGTCTCTCCAAATTCCAAGCGTGTAATCCTCATTTTTAATAACAGACAACCATACTGCCCCACTGTAAATTCTCCTATTTCCTGCTCACTGTACCTGATGTGTTGCTGGATAAGAGGATAGGTCCAAAGGAAAGTATCAAGAGGTAATCCTGATTCAATAGCTGGGAAGACAGGACCCTGGGGGATTGCAGGAGTTCTACAGCTTGTTTCAAAATCCAAGTCCTCACAGAAAGAGGCCCCTGGGAGTTAAGCCAGGTTCTTGAGTAAACGCTTTTGTACACTTACCTGGAGTGGCCGTGCCTTGGACCAAGGAGTTGCTCAGTGTCATCAGTAACACTGTGAGAACTACTGCCCAGGGATCTTCAGGAATCAGAACCATCCTGGAACTGGAAATGGGTGGGAGGTGGTAAAGTGCTGCTGTAAGAGAGGATCCACTAAATGAAGCCTCCTTCTGAAATTTCAGAAATTGTGAACCAAAATACTTTCTTACGTTCCCTAGGATTGGACAGACTTTAGAAAAGGAGCCAATGAACACTTAGCTTGATATGACTCATCACTCACTGGGCAGAAGCTTAGTATGAAAGGTCTAACAATTTAGTGTATAATCTACTTAAAATCTCACCAACTACTTGTCAGAAGAAAGATGTGCAATCCCTTCCTGAGCAATTTACAGCCTCTGAAAACCTGCTGGAGGGTCATCTACAAGTCAGTTCTGACTTGATGATAATGAGTTTGAATGTTTAAAAATCCACTCAAAAGGAGCTTTGGTATCATAGTCTGTGGTGTGTGGTGCTGCTAACCAAGAGGTCATGTGCTTCTCTGACAGTTCAGAAAGCAGAGTAGACAATCCTGTTAAGATTTACAGGCCTAGAAATCCAACAGAGGGTCATTATGAGTCAGAAACAACTCTATGGCACTGTGAATGCACTTAAGAGGATAGAAACAGTGATAATTATCTTGAGCAACTGGACAAGTCATAAGATTTTGGGACATGATGTACTCTCTTCGTTTTACTCGCCTCGCCTCAGAACTCAGCATGAGTCCTGTAGTCTGTCTTCCTTCCTCTACTAAAGGAGTATTTAGTAGCCTTGTAACAATATTTTTTTTTCTCCCAGAGGTTTATTAGTCCTGAAAAGTGCAGGTAACTTAGGATAGGATTACCTAGGACTGTTTATCAATGTCAGCATGGCCCAGCCCAGGAACATTACATGTAGGAGCAAGACATGCCAGTTATATTATATGCAACTTCAAGGAAAATACTTTCCTCTCTGGATGTTGATTTATTCATTCTCAGTAAGTGGATGATAAAACCTGCTTTTACACTTCACCAAAGAAGACATTCAGATGACTAACAAGCACATGAAGAAATGTTCAAAATCCTTAGCTCTAAGAGAGATGCAAATTAAAACAACTATGAGATATCATCTCACCCCAGTCAGAATAGGAAAATTTAATAGAAGAGCAAACAACAAATGCTGGTGAGGTTGTGGAGAAACTGGAACCCTTATTCACTGTTGGTGGGAATGTAAAATGGTGCAACCACTGTGGAGGGTGGTAGGGCACTTTCTCAAAAAGTTGCAAATAGAGATACCATTTGACCCAGCAATTCCACTACTGGGAATATACTCCAAAGAGACCATAACTGACATCCAAGCAGATATATGCACACCCACGTTTATCGCAGCTTTGTTCACAATAGCAAGGAGTTGGAAACAACCCAGGTGCCCATCAACGAACGAATGGATAGAGAAGCTGTGGTATATTCACACAATGGAATACTATGCTGCATTGAAAAACAAGGAACTCATGAAATATTGTTCAAAATGGGTGACCCTGGAGGACATTATGCTGAGTGAAGTATCTCAGTCACAAAAGGACAAATATTGTACAGTGCCACTGTTGTAAAACAGGACTGACCTTGGGGTTGGGGGGAGACTGAGAAAGATGGGTTCAACCATGTATACTACATTGAAACAGATGAGGGAGAAAACTGTTTAAAAGGGATATGTGATTAGGTCTTTTAATTATGACAGGAGTCTACAACGAAGGCTACATTGTGGAGTGGACCTGGGGAAGGGTTTGTAAAACAATGAAAGAATTTTTCTTTTACTTTTCAAAGAGGGTAGTGTACTATGGGGGAGAGTTGGGAGGGGAGAAAAGTGCAACAATGAATGAATGGAAATCCAAAGTTTCTGTAAATTTTAAGTGAAATTAATAATGAATTTTAAAAAAAGAAGGAAAAACCTCCAAAACCCTGCATTTAGGCAATGTTCTCAATTTATCTCAAATGAGATAAACAGATCTGAAAATACTTTTGAAAAGCAAATTCCTTGGAGAATATAAACAGACCAGTTAATGAGGGAGTAAAAGAAAATCATCAGAGATCTTGTTGTTGCTGTTGCTAGTTGTCATTAAGTCAATTCTGAGGCATTTCTGGGTGTGTCTGAACCACCAATCATTTTGTGAGTCCAGGGCTTAGCCATTTACCTAGAAACTCTTACCTCCTCCAAACCATCTGAGCCTGTTTGTGTGGACTGTAAATACAAAGTTGTTGATTTAAAAAAAAAACCCAAAAAACCTTTTATAAATGTAATAATGTTGAACCACAAAATCTAATATCATTTCAAACCAGCATAGTCTATTAATAGAGATGTTAAGATTTAAATAAAATGGTAGGATTTTAAAAATAATTATATAGCATAGGGTGTTTGTTAAGATGAGTAACCAGTACATTGTTGTATTAGGAAAAAAGTTCAGGTTTTGTAGTAAAATTATTTTGTTTCCTCCTTATATCATATATTTGCTATATATAACCAATCTAAAATGTCCTTAATCACTCAGTGTCTCAGGTAGTTTATTTTAAAAATAAACATTAATAATACTTCTTAGATTTTATGTGAGATAATACTTGTGAATTAAAACAGTATTTGGCATATACTAATTTGCTAATACTTATTACTGATGTAAAGCTACTACAAACCAAGATAGATATAATTATCACATTAAATATTCTGTGATCTTATCTACAAAATCTAAGGGAGTACTTCAAAGTAAAAAGGTTTAAAATAATAATAGAAAAGTAATTCTTATGCAACAATGAATGAATGGAAATCCAAAGTCTCTATAAAATGTTCATTAAAATTAATAATTTAAAAAACCCCAAACAAAAAAAAACCCCAACAATAAAATGAGAATAAAACATTAACAATAATATGATGATAAAAAAGAAAAGTAATTCTTTCATTATGATAAGGAGAATTTAGAAGAATGAAAATTGTATGTAATAAAAAAGAATTAAAAAAATTTCACTTTCCATGAAAATGGTGCTGAAAGTGAAGAAGGAAGCCCGTGCCCCTCCCAAAATTGTAGCCAAAGCAAAGGTGGTAAAGGCCAAGAAGGCAATCCTGTAGGGCATCCACAGCCACAAAAAGTAAAAAAAAATTCCCATGTCACCCAACTTTCAGCAGCCTAGGATGCTAAGACTGCAAAGATAGCCCAAATATCCCGAGAAGAGTGCCCTCAGGAGAAACAAGCTTGACCACTATGCCAGCATCAGGTTTCCCCAACCACTCATTCACCCATGAAGAAGATAGAAGATAATAACATACTTGTGTTCATTGTGGATGTCAAGGCCAACAAGCACCAAATCAAACAAGCTGTAATGAAGCTCTATGACACTAATGTTGGATGTGGCTAACATCAACACCTTGATTAGGCTTGATGGAGAGAAGGCGGCCTATGTTCGACTTGATCGATACATGCTTTGGATGTTGCCAACAAAATTGGATGATCTAAACCGAGTCCAGCTGACTAATTCTAAATACAAGTTTTTCACTCACACACACACACACACACACACACACACACACACTTAAAAACAAGATCACTCAGCATAATGCTCTCTAGCTTCTCTCATTTTTTGAAATCATTACTCCTGAGTGAATATATCACAATTTCTCAATCCATTTGTTTGTTGATGGACATTTGGGCTGTTGAATAACAGAGTTTCATAAGGGCAAATACTGTATCAGACCATTATTATAAAAACAGAAGGATAACTATTAAGATGTGTACAAATGTCCAAAAAGGGAAGGGGAGTGAGCAGGGGGCTGATGTGGGTCAGGGGAATCATAGAGTTGCAGAGTTTGGAGGCTGGAGGGAGGAGGTGAAGGAATTAGGAAACATCCAGTGTGGATCTGAAAAATGGGGTAATAGTAGGTATAAATCAATGTGATTAATTTTAAAAGACACAATGTATGAGAATGATCATATGAAACAGTGTGAATGAAGTAATGTGTGAAATACAATGTATATGAATGAAAAAAACTCT